GGGATGAGGAACAGAAAGGCAAAGACAGGAAGAGTTCCAAGTTCTAGGTGTGTTTAAAGAACATCTAGGTTAGGAGACAAGGTGGGTGTGGGTGGCAGGGGAGGAGGTTTCATTAGAGGCGAGGCAGGGCCTTCCAGGCTTGTAAGAAGTTTGAGTTTTATGCTAAGTGCAAGGAAGAGCCCCTGGAAGGTTCTAAGTCTGCACCATCTGATAGAAATTTCCAGCATGATGGACATGCTCTGTACTCTGTGCTGAACAATACGGCAGCCATTAGCTTCACCATGTGACTCCTGAGCAACGAAAATGTGGCTGCTGCAACTGAACGGAATTTTTAATTTGATTTAACTTTAATGAGTTTAAGTTCAAATAGCCGCAGCAGCTGCCGTTAGCAGTGGAGTGACTTGCTCAGACTTGCTAGTGGGCGGCAGGGGGAGGGAGCAGGGCAAGCACGGCGCTGGTCCAGGAGGTGGGGCGGCGTCGGTGACCCAGACTGGGGCAGAAGCAAGGCGATGGAGAGAAGGGGTCAGACTCCATCCAGGTCTGCTCCGGACTTGTAGGTGGATTGGTTGTGGGGAGAAGAAGGGCTTCGGGGAAGCAGGATGGCCATGGGGGGCTCCAGAGGCCCATAGCCCACCCATAGCTCGAAGTCAGGCACAGAGAGGGTGGGGTTTAGGGCACTGAGGAATGGCTAACACCGAGACAGAAATGGGAGTGTTGTCAGTGAACAGCTAGTGTTTGTGGAAGGGCAGAGGCTGCACTAGGAGGGAAGTAGAGGGGGAGAGACTGAGAAGGCCAGGGAAGTGACAGGAACCCAAGGAAGTGACAGAGAGGTGCAGACCCGGGGATGAGGACAGGGTCCCAGTGCTAGACCGCTAGGCCCTCTGGTGGAAGGGCTCTGGGTCTGGCCCCATGAAGTCAGAACCAGCCCAGGTGGGGCCTGGAGCCCGGCCAGGCAAGCTGGAGGTGAGGTCATGAGTCCTGGCCCCGGGGAAGCCTCCCAAAGGGTTTGACAGGTGGAGGGGACATCGCAAAGGACTCCACAGCTGTCTCTGAGCAGTGAGTGACATTTTCATCATCATTATGTTTTTCTGAATTCTTCATAATGAAAATGTCTATCTTTTATAATTAAAAAATGGATGTTACTCTTTGTTTTTTTTACAGCTCTATTTGGGTATAATTGACGTGCAATAAATTGTGTAATCTGAAGTGTGCGATTTGATGAATTTTGACATCTGTGCCTACCCGTGAAACCATCATAACAGATAAATATTTTCATCACTCCCAATAGATTTTTTTCACCTAAAAACTGATATGGGACAGGGAAGTGGGATTATTGGTGATGTCTCCCCTTCATTTTCTGGGATGTGGTCACATGGGTCTATATTTAGAATACACACACACATACCACACCCCTGCCCCCTCCCCCCCACCCCTTCCCTGGCCAGCAGCTGCAGCTGGATGTGTCGTGGACTCTTACAGAATGTGGCTTTTTGTGACTGTCTTCTTTCACTTAGTGCGCTGTTTTCTAGGTTCATCATGTTGTATGAAGCGTCTATTGGCACTTCATTTCCTTTTAAGGCTGAAGATGATTCTGTTGTGTGGATGTACCACATGCTGCTTATCCATCCATCCTGGCGGATGCTTGGCTGGTGTGCATAGCTGCTCTGAACCCATGATCAGTGCACGTACGTGTTTGAGGCCGTGTTTTTAATACTTGCGGAAATATACCTGGGAATGGCATTTCTGGGTCATGCAGCAATTCTGCGTTTGACCTTTCGGGGACTGCAAGGATGCCCTTTTCCAATTCGCACACGAAGGTGCTATGACACCAATTGGTGGGCACAGTGGCACTTGAGAGTCACACAGTCTTCAGGGCTCACATCCACCCTGTTCTCACCAGCTGCCCAGCCTGGGGCTAGAGGCTCCATAGATATGACTTCCTTCTACCCTCACGACCATCATTTGGGCAAGAGGCAGGGGAAGGAGCTCTGACTCGAGCCCAGCGGCCTGATTCCCAAAGTGCTGTTTCTGACACTGAGTCACTGGGCAGCATGGTCAGATATGGCGTCATAATTGAGGCCCATTGAAAAGCTGAGTCTTTTTCTTGTTCCTCCTCTGCCCTGTCTGTATCCTCATCCCCACCCGCTTTGTAGGTCAGAGGCTGAAGGAGGGCTCTCTTCAAGGGGGAGGTGGCCACATGACCCCCATCTGTCATCTGTCATCCACCATCCATCATCTGTCAGCCCCAGGGATCTGTGGGCAAGATCTGAAAACTGGGGCAGTTAATATAGCTGTGCTGTAGTCTTGCTTGCTTGCTTGCACTGTGCTGGACAGTGCCTGGCCAGGCACCTCCTCTGGGCTCCCAGCCCCAGCCCACAGTGAGGAGCAGAGGTCTCCTCGGGGCTCCCTTAGCCAAGGGCTCCAAATGAGTAAGGCCGTGGGCCTTTCTTGCCAGACCCCCTCAGCTGTAACTTTGCCTACCTTCTGCAGAATCAATTATTGATGAGGCCCTTACAGTTGGGGAGACCCAGGGGAGTATTCTGGCCGCCTTCCAGCCTCCATGAGAGCAGAGGGGCGGGGACAAATGAGCTGGTTCCTGAAGTCATGGTCGGTGAGATGCTCCAGGCTGTGGCTTCCCATGGTCAGAGGTCCAGAGCATCCTCAGGCCAGGGGGTACCACTCCGCTGAGGGGTAGCAGGGGGCCCTGGGGTTATCTTGCTTCCCCTGAGGACTGAGAGGGAAGCAAGCTGTTTGAAGGGCCGGCACACCAGGCCCACAGCTCCCACAGTTGCCTGGGGCGCAGGCTCAGACAGGTGGCTGGTGGCCCCGAATGCTGGGGAGGCATCTGGAGGGGGGTGGAGTCTGGGAAGGATCCGCTCTGCCTGGAGGGAGGCAGTGTGACAGCCACGGCTCCTGTCTGCCTATCAACTTCCCTCGGGGAAGGCCCGACATATGGAAAGTGACATTGGGAGGCCGCGGCAGATGGCAGAGTGGTTCTGGAGCTGCTGGGAGGGTGTCTTGTCTCAGACAAGGCAGTGGCCAAAGCCTCAGGCTTCCTGGGTGGCAGCGTGCCCAGCTCGTCCCCACCTCACCCCCAGGAGCCCTCCTTCCTCAGCAGAGGAGGCCCCCCCCCCCCAGCTCTGCCGGGTCCCCTCTGCAGGTATGGCCTGGAACTTGTTCCTCTCCCTGGGCCTCTCCTTGGTGCGCTAATTCTTTGTTTTTTAAAGATTTTATTTATTTATTTTTTGGAGAGCGGGGAAGGCAGGGAGAAAGAGAGGGAGAGAAACAGACTGGTTGCCTCTTGCATGCCCCCAACTGGGTTCCTGGCCCACAACCCAGGCAATGTGCCCTGACTGGGGGTCAACCAGCAACCTTTCAGTTCACAGCCCAGGGCTGGGTTCACTAATTCTTACTCGTGTGAATTAGTGAACATGTGACTGTGAACATGTGATTGTAACTGATCTGCTGTCCTTCACTAAGTTCATTCCCTAGCTCTTAGGTGACCTTAGGTCTCCCTGCTGAAGACGTCCTAGGTCCCTCTGGAGAGTGAGGCTTGTCTGGAGTGGCTCCCACCCCCTCCTCCGGACTGAAATGAGAGTTGAATAGCTCCTTGGCCTCCCCTCCCTTCCAGAGGCCTGAAGCTGAGCTGGGAGGAGGGCTAGGGCAGCACCTGGGCAGCCAGGACATGTGATTAAGGCGGCTGAGAGCCAGTACCCTGCTAAGCGTCTCTGTCATGTGGCTGTGGGGCTGGGCAGCACTACAGCGTCGGGGCAGGGAGCTGGGTGTAATGAGGGAAGGGACTGAGTTTCCGGGCTCTGCCAGGACTCTGAGGAGGGCTGGGCACGGGTGGGGCCATGGCCATGCAAATAACCCAGGAGAGGGTGGGAGAGGGAGCCCAGACACAGAGGTACTGCACCCAGAAGTAACAGGTGCTCTATGAATCGTGGGGTCCCACAAAGTCCTCCTGGAGTAGGGGCACGGAGCTGTTGGCAGAGAAGGGGGCCAAAGCCCCCGGCATGGAGGCTGGAGCAAAGGGGCCTGAAGGGGTGGGCTGGGTGGCCAGTGAGGGGCCTCAAACACCAGGGCGAGAGCGCGCGCTCAGAGAGCAGGGAAGGAGTCTGGGGAAATGAGGCAGAAGGACAAGACATCATAGCCAAACGTGGAAGTGCTCAAAGAGGTTTCTGTGGACTCATCCTATTGGGGGAAACACTGCGGCGACTTTGATGGAGTCACCGTACTGACGGCGGAAACCGACCACACAGAGTGGGCAACGTGGGGCCGGTGTGACAAAGGGCCACTGAGGGACAGTGGGGGCCCAGCTCAGGAGCTGGTAACAGCCAGATGCCACTACTGCCAACTCTGGGGCCTGAAGAGGCAGAGAGGGGACCGTGGAGAATGCCAGCCCACCAGGCCCAGGCTTTCCCACGCCGTGACACTTTGTTGTGTGCTGCAAACCCACCCCTAATATACCCCAGTGCGGCCTGCCCCCCTAGATTGTATCCAGTGGACCGAACTGGGGTGAGAGTCCACAGGAGGCCAGCAAGGCCTCTTTGGGGAATTCTGAGTGTGCAAAGCTGTAACTACGAGGGTGACCACTGCAGCTCTCCTGTAAAAGCTACAAGCTGACTCAAACCAAACGTCCCAGGTACAGGGCGGGGTGAATGGACTCCAGTTCCTCCACATGAAGGAAAACTGGCGGCTGCTGAGGGGCCAAGCAGGCTTGGTGTGTGCTGGGGCGATCCTGCGGGTCATCAAGGATGCAAGTTCCCTGGCAGGGCGTGTGGACAGGGGTTGTACTGACTGAGGGACAAACGGGCCCACAAGTCGCGGCTGTGCTCACACAGAACAGTCTGGAAGGGATGTTGCTGGCTGGGAACAGTGCTCGCTTCCCGGAAGCACTACCAACAACCCGAGGGGGACCCTCGCTTTGCATACAAAGCTCTGTACTCTTGTTTTACCATTAGCACACAATTCCTTTAAGAGTGATTTATACAAAGAAGTATTTTATATCTATAAAAATGAGTGCTAAGCACGTGGTGAAGGGGGAATAAACAGGAAAAAATGCCAGTGTCCTCCCCCTGATGTCTGGCAGTGGCGGCGAGCGCCTGTGGTGTGCTGGGTGCTGTCCCGGGTGCTTTTACCCACCGGAATGGCTGCCCGCAGAACGCCGGCCATCTATGAGAAGCAGGTGGGGTGCGTCTGGATGTGCCAGCCTGCCCACGCACAAGGTGGGCAGGGATGAGTGGGCACACACCTAGGGCTGTGGGAGTATGAGGGGGGTGAGGGGCAGTTATCAGCCCCCATGGAGGGGCAACGGGAGGGCATGCAGAGGATGGGGTGCCATGGCAGGAGCTGGACGGGGCCCCTGCTGCTGCAGCCGGTCTGGGCGTGCGGGAGGCTGGTGGAGACAGGAGCGCGCTGGACTCGGCAGGGCCTCTGGTGTCCTCCAAGGGCACGGGGACGCCATCACAAAGGTCCCGAGGGGCAAGCCCAGCACTTCCTTGTTCCAGGCCAGTGGGAGAGAGGGGTGGTGAGGGCAACAGTGGGCACTAGCCCAGCAGAGTTTGGGGGGCTGCTGCCAGAGGCAGATCAGGGCAGTGCCATGCTCAGGGGGTGTCACAGTGAGTTACCCCAGGGGCAGCCAGGCAGTTGTTTTCCTGCGGCTTGGCTGGAGAAATTCAGTCCAGATGGGCCAGAGGAATATGAGTCGCCTGTTCTGCTGGTCCTTGCCCACTGACCAGAGGGCAGTACCCTGAGGATCGAGGAGGAGCAGAGATGGACCCTTGACCAGAAGGGGCCACAGAGGCCTTCTCATCTGCCCTCCTCCAGAGAGGCAAGGCTACCCGGGGACCCTGCAAGACTGTGGCAGAGGGCCAGCAGACAGGGCGACCAGAACTGCGGGTCCTGTTGCAAACATCCAAGTCCCAGGCAGGGAGGGCAGGTGAGTGCCAACTCTGAAGAGTCCCGCATACCTGGACCTGAGATCAGAGGGGTTTGGAGGTCAACACAGGAAAGCTGAGGAAGAGCAGCTGGGCGGAGTGCTGACGCGCTGCGGGCAAAGGATGTGGGCCACAGGACACAAGTGTCCTCTGTCCGAAGTCCGAGGCCTCTCAAGGCCAGGTGGACTGGTGACTAGAGATGAGACTGGCTTTCCAGATGTCACCACTGGGTCCCCACATGCTGGGCAGTGTGGGGGCCCTGGGCGGGCGGTGAGGGCCTTCCCTGGCTCCCGACCTGCTCCAGAGAAGCGGCTGAACGCTGCAGCGGTGGGCCGACAGGCGTGTTGCAGAGCTCAGGCTCCATGTCCCTCCTCCACAGTGCAGAAGGCACTGCCCGTGCATGTGTGGGGGTGGAGGCCTCTGCCACAGTCCCCAGCTAACAGCAACCCAGGCCAGAGGGCCTCTTGCTCTCTGGGGTCTTGGACGGACTTCCCTCCATATCTGTAAGGAAGGGAGAGGTCACTTGGCATCAAACAGGCACCTCCAGGGACACTGGACAGGGACCCCCTACTGATACCCTCTGGTGACTGCTGACCAGAGCTGTGACCTCGAACTTCAAGGCCCCTTATTCAAGGCCTGGCCCAGGGACACATTCCAGGTGGTGGAGCAGAGTGGGCAAAGGCAGGTACTGGGAGAGCCAGGACATGCTCATGGAGCCTGGGATGCTCAGCACGGCCCATGAGGAGGCTGCCAGGCAGACGAGGGAAGCCAGGGAGGAGTCTGAACTGGCAGGAGGGGTCAGGGAGGCTGCAGGCCTGAGGTCAGAGCAATGGGGGGAAAGACAGCCCAGAAAGGGGGATGGGAGGGTGGTGGACATGGATTTTAGGCCACAGGCCTGCTTCCTGCCCCGACCCAACCGCCTGTACGCACGGATGAGCTCTCCATCGCCGACCCGGAGCCGGGAGCTGCTCCTCCTCTCCAGGTGTTGCAGCACCGACTGCTCGAATGCCAGGGCAGCCACTCGGCTGAAGAAGGCCTTCACGTTCTCCCCTGTGAGCCCATGAAACAGCTGTGACCCCATCTGTCCACCTCTGCCCTCAGCTGCAGAGCATCTGGGCGGGGGCCGGTGGGCATGAGGGTCAGGGCAGTCCACCTCTGTGCTCCACGGGACAGTGCAGTGCAGGGGGCTGGCCAGCCGGCCCAGCTCCCCACCTGGCTCAAGCCCTCTCCCCACTCTGGCCACCTGCCCAAGCAGCTTCCTCAGATCTCTGCACCTCGGCGTCACCACATCTATTCTTCCCATCAGTCGGCACTGAGCACCTCCCGTGGGCCAGGGGGCCAGGCGTGGGGATACATGTGAGCAGAAAGGTGCCTGCTCTAACTTGTGAGCGAGCGCCTGTGTGTGCAGTGGGCGGCTGTGCGGGTGAGCACGTGCTGCCAGCCCCCATGTGGCGCCTTCGTGGATCCTCCTCCGGGTGGAGGCAGCTGCCTATCCAGGCCGGGCCGGGGTCCAGTGGCCCACATGCACACACACAGGGTGTTCTGCTTCGCCTGCAGGGAGCGCAGAGCACCTGCCGTCACTCCGATGGCAGCGAGAACTCTCAAGAGGGCATGAGGAGGCCATCAGGGGTTACCAGGCCTGGGTGCTGCCCCTTTTCGCTTGTGTTGAGCTGGGGGTGGTCTTCTCCTGGTGGCGCCTACCCTCGGCGGTCCCTCAGCCAGCCCCTGGGCTGTGTCTGCTCTGGCCTCTCACCAGGACTGAGACGCCGTGTGGTGGGGGATCCTCCCCACCCCCCCCATCCCCAGAGCCTCTACACACCGGCACGTCACCTCATTTCATGTCCCCAACAACCTGTATTTTCAAAGTCTGTTCTCTGCTGCTCTGCATTGTCTATTTTCAGTGTAATCTATTTTACACATGGCTCTTGTAATCTCAAACGTGTTTTCAATTAAAAATAAAATGAGATGAACAGCATCACCTGCTTCCCAGACAACGGTACTGAGGCCCTCGTCCCAGAGACGCTGGGCATCTTCCAGGGGCCATGGTGAGCAGGGGCCCATGGGAGAAGGTGGCTCAGGGACCAGGGGACAGATCAGGGGGGAGCTGAATGAGGATTGGAGACTGTAATATTTCAGTGTCTTCCACGATGACACCCAGGGAAAAGATGGGAGCCCCCTGTTGCTGGGACCTTCTACGTGCCAGGCTGTGTCTCCCACCCAATATCCACAGGTTGTGGGCAAGAAGCCGCAGGGGTCACAGGTGAGGGCTGAATTCCAACCCTGGACCTGGCACTGCCACCCTGGGACCCTACAATTGACTTAACAGGGACAAAATGACCTGCCCAGAGGGTCGGATGTCACCTCACCGTCATTAGCACAGCTGGCTGTGATGCAGGCACTTGACGGGCCTGAGGAAGGAAATGCGTGGGTCTCCCACAGCTGGCCCCGAGCCCACCACAGTGAAAGGCCCGTACCCACTCACCTGTCTTAGCCGACACCGACCAGTACTCAGCCTGCATCTCCTTGGCCAGGTGCACAGCCTCCACTTCTGCCTGCTCACACGCCGCCCTTGACTGGGAGAATTGGCCCCTCTTCAAGGAGGTACCTGAGGAGGGGGCTGCTAGCCTCCCAGGGTGCCTCCTTCCTCCCCATTCACCCTGGACTGTGCAGGCCCCAGTTCGGGGGGCAGGTAGCAGATGCCTTCCCGGGGGCGAGACCCCAGCGGTCCCAGGCAAGTCTCAGTGCCAGCTGTGCCTCCCTGAGAAGAACACCCCTGACTTTCAGCCCCCAGGCCTGCAGTCCTCAAACTCTCATCTAGCCACGTCAGTGCTACCTTCCCTCGCCCAAGCTTGGGCTGAAAGCACCTGCATTTTCTTGGGGGCCTCCCCTGCTCACCAGAAGGTCCTTCTTGGTTCCCACAAGGAATACAAAGCAGGAACCTGGCTCGTTCTCTCTCAGTGCATCCTCCAGCCACTGCCTGGAATGCACGGGGGGTTGGGGCCGGGGGAGACCGGCTGAGAGATAGCCCTACCCACCCAGAGAGGCCTGAGAATGACCAAGGAATGGGTGCAGACCCGGGTTCCTCCCCAGGGCTGGGAGCACTGACTTGGGAGGTGCCAGGAGGGGACCTTGACCCACACTGGTTGAGAGGGTGCTGGTCCTGAGGTCATATGGGCCTTGGCTGGACTACAGGGAAGTGACATTGCAAGTGCACTGGCCAGAGGAGGTGAAGACCCAGTCTTGGCCGTGGCTCTGCCCTTGTCCTGTGTCAACTTGGGTGAGTCCTGCACTGTCATCAACCGGTACAATCACTCTGGCCTCCCTCACAGGGCTTGACAGATGCTAGAGGTGAATGCCCAAACAGAAGTGAGGTGAAGGGGACTTTGGTCCATTAGCCGATGACTTCTGGCAGCAGCAGGAGGGCCTCCCGGAACTGCTCATGTTGCCGGCCGGCTCTTTTGACCAGATCTCTGCCCAGGACAACAAATGCCAATCACGTTCCTTTAGACAGGACTGCTATATGATTTGCAGGGCCCAGGGGACAATGGAAATACGAGGCCCTTCATCTGACAATAGGCCTTTTGAGACGGCAACAGCTGAGCATTAGAGCAAGCGCAGGCTCTGCTGGGCGCAGGTCCCCGGGCCACTGTGCTGGCTGTGCACCGAGCGGCCCTCACTTTAGCGTACAGTGCAGATCTCGAGGGATCATAAGGTGACTTAAATAAGTGGCCTGTGGGCATTCCTAACAAGTGAGCTGGTCACTCATATCTGCCAATGGGGCCCCAGCTCATGGGCCCAGATTTGGGGAGCCCTTTCAGGTGGTTCTCTGAGCCCAAGGGGACCCCAGGGGCTACAGATTCCCAGACTTGCCTGGTATGGTCCAGAGTCTGCACGTCAGTGAGGTCAAAGGCCGTGATGATCACTGCACATGCAGGGAAAAGCCAAGAGCTGCTCAGTGACAGGTAAGGGAAAAGGTGTGACAAGGGGTGCTCTCTTCAGGTGGCTCCCTGCTGCCCAGGAACTGCTGGGGAGGGACCCCAGGCACTTAGCTCTGGCCCTCACAATGGAGGCTGGGAAGGAGATAGCCCATGGCTGTCCCTTGTGACCCTCCCTCCCATACTCTCTCAGACCCACACCCAGCGGTGCAGCCACAGTGGGGGACAAAGAGGCAAGATGAGCTTGAGGCTGCTGAGTGCAGATCTCCCCTCTGTCACACAGCAAAGGGAGCTCAGGCGAGGGCCTTAGCTGCTGAGAGCCTGTCTTCCCACCTGTGAAAGGGTGAGAACCGTGGCTCTAGCTCCCAGGGTTGCTGTGAGGTTTAAGCCAGAGCAGCTATTTTAAAAGCTCTCAGCTCAGGACCTGGTGTCGGGCAGACTTCTGACACATGGCAGCCATGCTGAGATTGATCAGCAACAACCAGCTTCGGGGAAACAACTTCTGTGGAGCAGCGAGGGCGGGAAATGGGAAGATGCAGCCCATCCCCAGCTCTCTCATCAGTGGCCGAGCCGCCCCCCACCTCCTCCTCTCCTTTCTAGGTTCTCTGGACACATGCTTCTCTCTCGGTGTGTCTTTCTGAGCTGCAACTGGTGCTGAGACACACAGGGAGCCCCCATCACCACAGGGTCCCCAAAGGCTGTGACTGCTGAGGCCAGTCCTGGCTCTGTGGACCGGCTTTAACATTTCTCAGTCCTTCTTGGAAACAGATTTGGTGCCGGTGCAGAGGGTCTAGACTTCTCACTGCGAAGCCTGGTAGGGAGCCCTCTGCTGTATGACACTGAGGTCCCCACCACTGCCAACACACGGTTGCTCACCCTGGGCGCCCCGGTAGTAGGCAGATGCGATACACTTGAACTTCTCTTGCCCTGCTGTGTCCCAGCTGTGCGGTATCAGAGAGAGAAAGGGAAACAGAGAGGTGGCAGGTTAAGTGACTGCAGTGGTCAGAGCTCAGGAGGCTGGTGGGGCCCTGGGCAGCAGACCCCGGGGGCCTAAGCCAGCTGTGTGGGCTTCAGGAAGTGCCCGCCGTGCCCACCTCCCAAGCCCTTAGGTGCCTTAGGGTCTCTTTCTAGGGTGCCCCATGGGGGAATTTCCCAGCTGGATGAACTGTATCCGTGGCAGAAGGGCAGGGCCTCAGCAGGTCCACCGCCCAGGTGCTCGGAGCTGTAGCTCAGCCCCTTGTGACTGTGCTGTAAAAACAGAGAATGTGCCCCTATGTGCTCGCTTGGAGGATGTGGAAGTGCTCCCAGGAGCCGGCCCTGTGAATGGGACAGGGGCCCCAGGGTGGACGGCCAGCGGCGGCTCTGCCACTTGCTCACGTATGACTAAGCCATGGCTCCACCTTCTGCACTGTAGCGGAGGGCTTGCTCAGTGCCTGGGTCGGGGTGCAGGTGCCTATCAGGGACCTGGTTTATATTTCCCGGGTGACTGATCCATTAGCTCTGGCTCTCTGGAGAAACTGAGCCCTTCTCCGTGGAAAAGAATGGGACAATTGATTAATGATGTCTGGCACGGGCACCCTACAGAAGAGAGGGATACAGATGCTGTGATTCACTGGCCCTGGTTTGAAACCAGGCCGGGCAGTCAATGTGCAGGGCTGAGCCTGAAAACCCATCCCTTCATAAAATCAACAGGTCGAAATTTCATTTTCCTCTTGCCCTGGCCAGTGTGGCTCAGTTGGTTGCAGCACTGTCCTGTAAACTGAAAGGCTGCCAGTTTGGTCACTGGTTAGGGCACTAGGCCGTGAGTTTGATCCTTGGTGGGGGTGTATATAGGAGGCAACTGATTGATGTTTCTCTCTTCCCCCTTCCACTCTCTAAAAGCAATAAAAAAAATTACATCAATGTTTCCCTCTCTTTCTCCCTCCCTCTGCTCTCTCTCAAAAAAAAACAAACAAAAAAACCCCACTTTTCTCAGTAAACTGACAAGTAGACAAGCCAGAACAAGACATCAATGGTCTGAAATTTTTTTTGAATGATCACCACGATGCAGAACTTTTTGGTTCTATTCTTTCATTCATTCATTCGTGTTTTCTTTTACTTCTGAAGATGACTCTAGGTGGGAAGCTGGAAAGGTGGCCTGGAGGTGAGGCCAGTTGGTTGGCTGGCCTTAATGTAAGACAATGAGAGGCTAAGCCAGGACAGCGTCCCTATTTTGTCCTCAGCCCTCTAATTAGGTACAGCCTGTGGTTGAAATGGTGAGCCCAGCCACAGGCTACTCACTACATGGCTCCACCCAGGTTGCTTCCATTATCTCTTTGTTCTCGGCTCTCCTGCGCCCAGATCCCCTTGGTCCTGCAGCCCTGCATTCCCACAGCCTCTTCTGCTCTGGTCTGACCCTGTGCTCTCCTTTGGGTGAGGTTCAGTGGTACCACCTGGCTCTAGGACCGCACTGGGGCTATAGAAGTCCTCAGAGAAAGGGGCAGTCTCAACAGAGTTAGGAGCTGAGGTTCACGAGAGGGTAAGCTCCACCATGATTACCATGCATCCCAGTGCAGCCTGGGCAGGGCATGGAGGTTTGAGGAATGAAAGCAGAGGAGCACGTGTGAACCCCAGGGAGAGAGAAAGGAGAAGGGACCAGGGCAGAAGCCTGGTGAACACCAGCAGGGGAGCATGGAGGGTACATGAAGGGTGGCCTGGGACGCAGTGGGGGCCACGCAGGAGACGGCAGGGCCAGGGGTGCGGGGAGGCCTGCAGCATCCTCCATGCACCAGAGGAGAGGAAAGACAAAGTTCAGAGCTCTGGTGGGAAGGTAGGCACCTGGGGGAGAGACTCTGAGCTGTTCTGGGGGAAACTAGAGGGGAGGGGAGGAAGCCAGTGGCCACTGAGAGGCAGAGGCATGGGGTCCAGCAGGACAGACAGACACACAGACAGAGGGAAAGCAGAGCAGGGCATGGGGGGAAGGAGGAGGTGCATCAGAACTGAGGAAGGCATGGGACCACGTGGCCTCCAGTACAGCCTGGCACATGGGGACTTAGTTTTGGCCCTGTTTTCCAGATGGGACAGAGGCACAGAGACCTGACATGACTTGCCAGAGGCTACCTTGCTGGCCCAGCGAGTGGGGTCGCAGATGGCCAGGCATGGGTGGTACGGGACGTGGAGCCCTGCTTGTTCAAACAGGCCCTCTCTGAACACCACTGGACAGTCGAGAAGGAGCTCACCAACGGTCTCCCAAAGCCCCCACGAGACATGCAGGAATCAGCACAATGGGGACTTACATCTGGAGGCTGTAGGGGATTCCAGCAATCTCAAAGCGCTCGATTTCAAAGTCCACTCCGATGGTGGCCTTGTAGTTGCAGTCAAAAATGTTTTTGCAAAACCTGTGGGAGAAAGTCATCAGAGAGGCTGCAGGATGCTCACTCCCCGACACCAAGTACCTGGAGGCAGTGAAGCCTGCTAACTGGAGGTCGCTGCAGGGATGGAGGTCCACAGAGACAGGCTGCAGGGACAGCCAACAGCACACGTGCGGGGCAGGGGCTGCAGCAGATGCTGCAAGTCAGGGACGGAGAAAGAGAAACCGGGCATCCTTTTCAGGGGGGTTGGTGAGGCTTGAGCCCATGGCCCTAGGGGGGCAGTGTGACAAATGCCAGGCTCCTGGGATGCCACACTCTCTGCTGACCCCACCATCGCCCTGACTTCCTACACCCTCCCATGGAGTGTGGTTCCCAGCTACCAGTCTGTCTCGACTCTGACATTGTCATCTGGGCCTCCCAGGCAAAGTCCCGACAACCTGGTGCTGGGTGGTGTGGCCGGCGTGCTTACCTGTGGATGAGGCTGGTCTTGCCCACGTAGAGGTCACCAACTACCACCACCTTGGAGAGGCTGAGCCTGTGAAGAAGGCGGCTGTGCTGCGCTCAAGCATGCTTACAAGAGCACCTTCACACCACGGGCTCCTCCTCCCCTGCGCTTCCACCTGTGAGCCACCCTCAACCCTGGACAGGGGACAGGACACCTGCTGAGACACTCTGGGAAGTCTGTGTCCACTCCTGAACATCGGAGAGGAGGGCAAGAGAGTCTGTGTTCATTCTGGGGACTGTGCTGTCTCTGGGGCTGTACTCCTGACTGTGCTGGGTCCAAGTCCTGAGTGAAAATTAGAATTGGGACCGGAAGATGAGGAAGTAGAGAGAGGAGCCCTAGGTGGGGCTGCGTCCAAGCTAAGGGTGCAGCAAGGAACCCGGAGCACACTGAGGGTGCAGACACAGGGCCCACGTGTGCGGGGGACACAGCCCGGGTTGGAGGCAGGGCCCCTGCACCTCCTACCTGCCCCTGGGGCTACATGTCCGATAGGTTCCCTCTAGCTCCTTGCAAGCAGTCACTCCCGTGGGTGAGCAGGGCATGCCCACTCCCTTGGAGGTTTCTGTTAGGCCCAGCCAGGCCAAGGGGCGTGTCACAGATGGAACTTAGGTCTGTACATCTGGACTGCGGCATGAGGTCAACTGGCTCTGAGGTTCTTGGGCTCTCTGGGGACCATGTTCACCAAGAGCAACTGCCACTCACTCAGGGAGTGTCTTGCATTCCATGTAGCGGCATTCCTGGGGCTGGGGGTGATAACTCTGCAGCTCATGCCAAAGCTCAACAGGTAACATCTGACCAGGCACTTCCTGTGCCTGCAGACAGCAGGAGGGCACCTCTGGTGACTTGGTGCGCCATGTCTGCCAGGGCAGAGGCTGTGTCCGCTCTGTTCCCAAGTGGCCGCTAGCTCTGGAACAGCGTGCCCAGGTGAAGAAGTAAAGGTACAGCTGAGGTGTGGTGGGGTGCCCTCTGTGCCCCAGTCTCCCCACCTCCTCATGCTCTTGGGAATGGTTGGGAGTAATCTGCGTGAAGCACCTGGTACGGAACCGGTACTCCCGAACAGGCGGCTGTTACATCACCCTAGGACCGCAGCTGCTTTGGCCATTCTGACCTGAGCACGGCCTCACTTTGAGCCACCTTGGGACCTCAGAGCTGGGCCCCCACTGCCATCTACCCACACCTGTGTCACCTGTGAGCCCATCTAACTTCCTCAGCAGACTGTGAGAGCCGCAAGATCCTTGGGCCGGCTGTGCCCAGGAAAGAACAGACACAGCCCTCACCCCCGAACTCGCAGTCCTATGAGGTAAGTGCGTGGGGCACAGGAGCACACAGGAGGGGTGCCCCGCCCACCCGCACTGGGGACAGGGGTGGTGGGGGGCTCAGAGAAGGCCCCCAGAGGACCTGACACTATACTGAGGTCTGAAGGAAAAACATTACAGACAAGAGAAGAAGGCAAACACTGAAGCCTCAGGCTGAGAAACGGGGAAGCTGTTCTCTACGGCAGAAGTGTGCCCAATGAGGCCAGACGAGACTCCCATCATCCTCAGGCCCGGCCTGGGTTGCACAGGTGTGCTCTGGGTAAGGGTTTCCCTGGTGCGTTCACACATGCACTCATGCACTCCTTCCTTCCTGCTGGTCCCCCACCCCACGCCCTGTGAGCTGGGGCGGTGGTGCTCACCCGACGGTCCCCGTGCTCCCTTGCTGGCAGGCGGCATGGACCTGCCCGTGGAAGTGCTCCTTGAGCTGCAGGCAGGCGTCAGGCGTGTACCACTGGAAAGAGTCAGACAGACAGACAGACAGACAGACAAACAGGCACATCACCCTGCGAAGCCGCGGCTCTGTCACCAAGCAGGGCAGTGAGGTGGTGACTTCCTTCCCAGCATTTCCTCCTCAAGCCCCACGGCGGGCAGCCTCATCAGCTTTCCCGATCCCTCAGTTGCATCCATCCCGTCTTGTCTGCAGCCTCAAGATTCCAGGGTCTTATGAGGCCTGAGGAGGAGCCACAGGGGCAGAGCCAGACCAAAGAGCTCAGGTGGGGACTGGGAGAGCTGGGTCTCACCTGGGGCGCCTCGCCCTTACTGTAGGGAGGTGGCAGGTCCCTGTCCCCTCTCGTCCTCATGGGATAAGACAAGGGGTGGGCTCTAAGGGCTTTTTTCAGCTCCCAGATCCTCTCATAGCTTCTACAGATCCCTATGCTGTTTTTGTTTTTAAAACATGTACATATGTGCACGGAAAGTGTTGTGGGAGGCACTTAAGGCCTTCCACAGTTTTTGGAAGGCAGAGCTGGGCAGTGGTTTAGGAGCACAGCCTCCGGGTTGAGAAGACCTGCATCTGCCCTTAGCGGCCGTGTGAACCCTAGGCAGCTGCCTAATGTCTCCTAACTGCAATTTCCCATCTCAGAGGCTCGGAGGCATACAATGAGATGATGCTGGTAAAGCACAGAGCCAGCGTGGCTCAGACTAAGTGCTCAGCAAATGTTCATGGCCACTGAGATGCCATGGCACATGCTGAGTATACATTTGTTTTAAAATGAGAAAAATGAACTTCAGATGATCATTATGTTCTGTTTCTCAGGTTGGCCCAGGCTAAGCACAGAGCGTGGCAAGGATGTGGAGAGCAGTGTCACTGGAGACTGCTGGTGTGCTCCACTGTGCCACGGTGGTGGGTGGCCCGTGGTCATTAAAGGAACCCCCTAATTTTGGATGGATTGGAGAAGCGTAATAAGGAAGGATGGGCAGGAAGTATGAGCCAATTTTAGAGACAGGAAAACAGGCACACAGAGCAGAGGGAAGGGCTGGTTCTACCTAACCACAAATTTCTCAGGTCTGAAATGGTGTGGTCCTGGGGGCATGACCCCTGACAGCCACAGGCAGTGGGGGAGAACCTCACCCTCTGTGGAAACAGGTCAGATGCCTCCCAGGGTAGGGGAAAGTCACAGCCCTGGGGTCAGTGTCAGCCGAGTCCTGGCTCTACCACGCGTCACTGTGTGACTTTATGCAGCCCTCCCTACCTCTCTGAGCCTCTGTAATGTCCTGCTCTGTAAATTGGGTCCTTTGTCCCATGAGACCTGGACTGTTTTGGGCTAATCACACTTCCCTTCCTTGTGGCTCATTAAATGCCAGTCTCCGTGATCTCTGGGTACCACTCTCAAGCTCTGTAGGGAAGCAATTGCCCGAGCCTCTGATAAGACAGAAAATCCTGGGGGAACTGCCTGTGGATCTGAGACATTAAGGCTCTCTTTGTGGGGGAAAGCAGAAAAGGGGGAGAAGGAATGACTTGCAGCCACCTCCTTCTTCCCTACCAGCATGGGCACAGAATTCACAAGGTAAGAAGGCCACTCCCTGGAGATTTCTCCCCTCAAGCCCCTCCCAAGTCAAATGCAGACAACCAGAGAGCTGGATCTAATGCATCATTCCAAAGCTATTTCCTGCATGTACCAACACATACATTTCTGTGCTCCCATCTTCTTTGTTACATGTGGGAGCCCTACATACACTGCTCCCAACTTCTTTGTTACAAGAGCCCTACACACACTGCTCTTGCATGTTTATTTCGGCTCTCACAGCACATTAGCACCTGGAGAGGTACCTCACTCCTCCTCCAGTGTCAGGAAGTAGTATTTTGTTCCCTAAGCAGCCCTCTCTCCAAGGACATCTACTTTGTGTCTGACCTTTAGCTTTACAAACTGTTGCAATGTTTGGGCTTGAAATGCTGGATCGGAGGGTGGGGGCATTGCAATGTTGGGAAATATTGTCCCACCCCCCCATAGAGGTTGTACTAATTTGCATTCTTACATACATTACAGCTGGGTTGTAATATAAATGGAAGAGAGCTCAGTTTTAAGTAGAAATTGAAGGCAGAAGGATTAGTGGGGAGAACCTGGATTTGGTGTCAGGAAACTAGAGTGCTGTTTTGATAATCATCATCATCATCATCATAAAGAGAACAGAACAACGACCTTCTTCAGGCAAGGGAACTCCTATTTACTATGAGCCAGGCACCCTCTGGGGACAGTGGAACAGTGGAACTGTTCCTGTGGAACAGTGGCTCTGAGAGGTTGAGTGTCTTGCCCACAGTCACGCAGCTTAATGACACATTCAGAACTGACGCTCAGGATTGCCAAGTCCATGCCCTTAACCTCCACGCCACACTGTCTTCTGGTCTCACCCTTGTCATGCTGCCTCACTTTGGTCAAGGCAGCCCCATGTCTCCCAGCTTCTCAAGAAGTCTGGTAAGTTCCTGGAGTCTGTCAGCAAGGGCATGACCTCCTGATTCACCTGGTGTGTGTCTGGTGGTGAGTACAGGTGGGGAAAGCTAGGTGTGGATGGGGTGTCCAGAGAGCAGCGCACACACGAAGTCTGGCCTAGGGACTTTCTACCTTAGGGAAGCTGGCGATGATGCGGTCCCGGCTCACAGGGGGCCCCAGAGGCAGCAGGGAGGACCTCATCCTTCCAGAGAGTTCTGTAGACCCAACCAGGGGAAAGAGAGTTAGGGAGCTGTGCCAAACCCTGGGGACTCACATGCAAGTTTATGCCTAACTTTTCGGTAGCTTTGAAAACAGATCCAAGCCTCCTCTCCTCCAAGTCAGAAGTATGGGCCAGAGGTCATCATCTTTCAATCTGCAGGCCTTATGGCGGGGTGGCCTGAGGGGGCAGGCCTGCCCCACCCTGCCTGGGAGTCCAGAATACCTGCAGCTCCCTCTTCCTGCCGCCCCTCTCAGAGCATACGACTGGCTGTGAGTGAGGAGGCACCGCACGAAGACACAAATACCGCAGGCAGGCAGGGTGCAGTAGTGGATTGGGGACAGGGGTGTCCCTGCTCCTAGTCTCTAAGGGATGGAGGCTCTGGGTGGGCCGAGGGCCTCAAGTTTCAGCCCGAGGCCTGTCAGCACACCCAGGACCGGGCCCCTGATGCCTATTCAACAGTCCTACCTCTCCTTCTTTTGTCTGCACCCTTTCCCCTCTAGGGTGGCCTTGACCGAGGCCTGTTGTCTTCCTCGCTCTGACCCAGCTCTCCTCCAGGACCAGTATGGGCCTGACCCAGGGTGGGTTCAGGAAATGCTGAGGCCCCAGGGCCTCAGGCCACGTTCAGGTTAAGACCGTGGGAGGCAGGCGGCGGGCGAGGTGTCTTCCCGACCCCCACCTCCGAGGCGCGCCATTATGGAGGTGGGCCCAGGGCAGGAGTAGGGTGGCGGACTCACCCGCAGCGGCCGTGGAGGCTCAGGGTTCTGCGCCGCTTAGTCTGGGTTCGCCGCAGCATCACCTTGGCAACCAGGGCCAAGCGGGACTGGAGGGCAGCTGACGAATCCTGTAAGTAGGGGGCTGGGTCTGGGCGGGGCTGGCGGCAGAAACAGTCCCTTGGCGGCCTGCCTGAACCATCACCATAGCAACCAGAGCCTGGCCCAAGAGGGAGCTGGGGGCGCTAGGAAAGGTTGTAGTCTTCAGGTGCCAGCGCCGGTTATCACCATGGTAACGGGGCGGAACCGGATATGGAGTAACAGGCGGGGTCAAAGCCACCGGGGTGGGGCCTGGAATTCAGGGGCGTGGCTGGGCGTGGCTGACGTTGGAAAGCCGTAGGCGCCTATCTCCTTGACAAATCTACGTAACGGGAGGGCTGGGGGCTCATACTGTCAGGGATTATGATATGAAGTGTTTAAGTATTTATTTATTAAATATGATTCTTTTCTGATTATCTAAATACTTCATAGTTTTCGTTATATATTGGTATAGAGTGATCTTTAAGATCCCTTGCCCCCTTTCTCACATCTCATATCTCATACATCAGTAAATGCTACAGGTTCTACCCTGAAATTTTGTCCAGTATTCTCTATCTTCCTCCCACTTCTATTGGCATCACCCTGGTCCAAGCCATCATCTTCTGTCGCCTTAACTGTCTTCCTGCTTCCATCCTTGCACCTATTCTATTCTCAGTTCAGCAGGCTCTCCTGTTAAAACAGGGATCAGATCATGTCCATCTTGGCTTCAAACCCTTTAACGTCTGCTTATGGCTTGCAGATTAATGAAGTCCTTATAATGACTTCAATGGCTATGTGATTGGTTTCCTTTTTTACTTCATCATCATGTAGTGCTCACCACCCTCCCACAGCCCGTCCCCAACTGGCTCCAGTGGCATCCTTGCTGCTGTTCCTCTAACAGGCCAGGCACGTGGGTGTTTGCACTGGCTGTTCCCTGAGTCTGGAATACTCTTTCCCCAGATATTCACATCACTCCCTTTCCTCATCTTCTTTTACTTCAGATGTCACCTCTAGAGGAGATGTTCACTAAGAATCCTATTTACAATTGCAGCCTTCTCGCGACCCCTATTCAGCTGCTTCTCCAGGCACTTCCTGTTTTCTAACATACTATCATTTATGTTGATTGTGTATCTCCCTCCACTGAGAGCCAGGACTACAGGGGCTGTTGCGTTTAGTTCACTGATGAATCTCGCGGGCTGAAAAGTGCCTGCAGAGAGCAGGCACTCAGTGAGTGTTGCACGAGTGGACAAATATTAAATTAAAAAAAAAAGAAGGTGGAGAACAGTGTTTGAAGTATGCCGCCACAACATTAAACAGTAAATAAATCACATTTACTTGTATAAGTGTAACTTATCTCTGGAAAGATACCAGTGGCTGCCACAGGTGTGGACAGCTTGTTGTCTGGGGACCGAGGGAGACATTTTTCTTTTACACTTTTGAGAATTTTCTCTGTGTGTATATACTGCTATTGAATAAATAACTCGAATGAAAATAAATAATTTGGAACACAGAATACAATAATGTCCCCCATCTCTGGCCCTTCCAGGTCGGCTCTCATGTACTTTGATGTGCTTCCCTCCTTGGACTCTTTCCTGCAGACACCTCCGCCTTTCAGCAATCATGGCATAAAAACTTTGGCTGTGATATTGGTATTTGACTGGAGCCTAGCACCCTGCAGCGGCAAGTGATGGACAAACCTACCACTTAGGGACCTTAATCAGCATTGTTCGGAATGTAATGGTACCCAAATACCAAATGCCCGGCTTCTAGAGTTCATGCAACAAAATTAATTCCTGTAATTAACAGCTGTTTAAAAGCTGGCCCAAGCCACTCACCCCTGTGAGCTAGTTTCGGTTTAGAGAGTGAGGCATTTGGCATTCTCCCTGAGCGAGAAGGCCTCCTGGGGCACCGGTAAACACCGTGTAATCACAAAAACGGGAGAGAGACAGTGGTTACCTTTGGAAGGGAGGAAGGGATACGGGGAAGGGGAAGAGAACACAGGCATTGATATGTTGTTTGGTAAATATACAGGTGGTTATTACATTTTTATCTTTCACAAATTAGCATATGCTACATAGCATGTTATATGTGCATCTAAAAAATAAAAAGGAGATTGAAAACGATACAATTGAAGGGCAATTAAAAAGAGAGAGAGAGAGAGAGAGAGAGAGACTGTGTACCCAGATTCTGAGAGGCCCAGGGTTCCCAGCTTTGAGAATCTATTTCATTCAGCTTCCCATTTCATGGGCTGGGAAACTAAGGCTCGCATGATCAGAAAGATTTACCTAGTGAGTTAGAACTAGAGTCAGAACCCAGATTTCCTGACTCTTGGCCCTGTGCTTGCCATACTATCTTCCTAAAAAAGCTAGGGTGCTCTGGGTTAGAGGGGGACCCTTACGACTTTTCCTTAGAGGGACAGCAGTAGGGGGCAGATCCCCACGTCACCATATGGGATCCTTGGTGCACAGGTCTAAGTCGGTTATCTTCATTTGAAGATAAATGTGCCGGAGGCTGACACTTGGTGCATTCTGTAGTGAGTTTCACTGCAATAGGCCCAGGCTTAGGGCTGTGCCCCCTCCTATGCCTCAGTTTACTCAGCTATAAAATGGACTGTCTACTTCGTTGTGAGGATCACACAAGATGGTGACAGTGCTTTGTACATTAGTATAAAGCTTGATTCGAGTGCATTACCCATTGGTTTGTTCTACACTTACTCAAAGCCTCCTGGTATATTGCAGGCATTGGAGAGGCAAGTAAACAGGACTGACATAACCTCCACCCTCAGGAAAATTGGAGTCTGCTGAGGGGAACCGAGAAACAAATAGAGAATTAGGGAAGGGAAGTGTGCCATGAGGTAATTAAACTGTGGGATCATTTTCTGACTTGGAGGTGGGGAGGAGTTAGGCATCATGGAGGTAGTGTCCACCGAGTTGTGTCCTGAAGGCCAAAGAAGTGGCTGATGGTAGGAGCAGTCCAGGCTGCAGGAGAGAGTTGGCCTTTTAGGGGGTTAAGAGGGAGTCGAGCGTAGTTGGAAGAGGCCGTCACCCAGAGTCTTGAGTAGCAGGCTAGAGGTTTGGACTCTGTCCTGGGGCCACTGGGGAGCCACGGAGGGTTTAATACAGGTGACGATTGGGTCTGGCTTGCTTTCAAGCACAACTGCTCCAGTTGGCCGTGCGTTGGGTCCACTGTAGGGACGGATCTGCGTCATTACCAGGCAACGAGCCTGCAGAGCTAGGAGGGTGGGCCAGGGCTAGGCGGTCTTGGGATCTGGCCTGTGTGATTTTGGCAAAATACTAAAACCCCGAGGTTCCTGTCTGTAAACTGGCTAATGTTAGCCCCTCACGGAGTTACTCTGAGGATTAAAGGCATGCAAAGTGTTCAGCACAGGGAAAGGAGTACACATTCACTTCCCTACCTGTCTGTGCCATAAACAAAGCTAAGCCGCCTTTGTTCCCCACAGTAACCCCGTAAAGTATCACTGTCCTCTATTTACAGCCGGCCGTAGCGCGGAGCTGTCTGCGCCTGCGCGGTGGGCACCAAGTGCGCGGAGCGGACGAGACGCCTCCGGAGTCGCCTAGCAACCGGGTCGCCTGGCAACGGGCATGCACTACCCGGACCCAGCGAGCTGAAGCAGGTGAGCCGGCGGCGACCAGACAGGGTCCTAAGACAGGGGTCCCCTAGACCCATCCAGTCTGGCTCACACGGGTCCAGTGTCTTCACACCCCAAATCTCTCTCAAACGCAGCCAGACTCCTGCTGCTTATGCCCTTTAGAGGAGTGCAGGCCCCTGCCCCAAGGCCCACTGTTCTCTGCGAGGGAAGTCCTACATCGGAAAGGGCTGCGTTTCTCCCAGCCCCGCGGGCCACGGGCTCCCCTGGCCACCCGGTGCCCAGGATCAGAGTCCGCTAACTTCTTTAACTGGACTAGAATCCTACAGGGCTGAGACCTGCCACTGCCACGAAACCTTGGCAGCAACAACTGCCACCATAATAATGACCACAGCCGACATCCCTGGAGCCCTGGTGTGGCGGGGTCCCAGAGGGAGGAACAGAGGTGCTATTATCGAGTCCCTTTTGCAGCTGTAGAAAGACACAAAGGGGAAGAAATTGTCAAGGGCTACCCAAGGCCTGGGGCTGGAGTCCATTCTTAGTACTAAACCACATTGTCTAGAGTTGCTCAAGGGGTGTATGTGTGTGTCATAAAAATAATTCACTTTTTAACCTTTTTAACCCCAGTGCCTTCTGAATTCACTTTTGTGGATGTGTCAGAAGCATCCGAATATGGGTCCCTGATAGGTTAATGAGCTGGGCCCTAATTTGAATGTTGGCTCCTGACCTTACTAGTTCTGCTTCTTCGAGTGGGTGGGTCACTTGACCCTAAAACTCATCTTCCACCTTTGTAAAACGAGGACACTCCAAGTCCCTTTCTTCTGGGGTAGTTGATTTAGATACCAGGTAATTCTGGCACGAGATAAGCACTCAATTAGTGACCATATTAATAAAGTGTGGGTGGTTTCTTCCACTGTTAAGCGTGGGACAACTCTGGAGTGTGCAGTTTGGGCCGCTACTTTACCGTGACCATGAGCAGATCCCTTCATTGCTCTCAGCCTCAGTGTGCTCATCTGTAAAATGGCTGTGAAACTAACCACCCAGCTGTGCTTACGGTTTTGAGGATCAAATGAGAGTTAGCTTTTAAATCCCAGTAGTAAGAATGATAACATTTTGGGTTCTTTTTGTCAGTGGTTTCTGCAGAGCTTAATTTGCTTTGAGAGTCACCTAGAGAGTCACCTTCTGCAGGTGTGGAAAGATGGCCCACACCCGGATCTCTATGTACCAGCCCCCCGACATCAACCCCGCCCAGGCTGCCATTGCCTATGGCTGCCGGGCCCTGCCCAAGCTGAATGAGGAGCTGCAGTCGGAGGACCTGCTGACGAGGCAGAAAGCCCTCATGGCTCTGTGTGACCTTATGCATGACCCCGAACATATCTATGTGGCCATCAAAACAGGTGAGTGTCACAGAGCCTAGGTGACCATGACTAAGATCTGGATGGACAGACACAGAGTAGCTTGAGGTGGGAGGAGCTGAGGTGACCTGGTCCCTTCACAGCATTCCTCCCAGCTGGTTGGTCAGTCCCCGCAGGACACCCTTAGCGGCTGACCCACTGCCACACACTAGCCCTCTCTGCTCTGGCTCGACCAGGTGGCCGCAAATCCACCAGGCAGCCTGTTTATCTGTCTCATCTGCAGGCTGTCACAAACGACAAGCGCACACTCTGCCGAAACCACATGGTATCTGGGACCTGTGTCCCTTGTTACCCACTCTCCTAGTTACCAAAATAAAAGGTGAGGTGATTTTAGTGGCGTGGTCACACCTCCCAGACCAGGCACATCAATGAGTGTGAACTGCTGCTTCTCCCTCCAGCCTTAGCTGGGGGGCCGGTTTAATATAAGAGGCGGTGGTGGTCTCAGCATGGCCTTGCACACCTGGTGGAGCTTCAGTAATAAAGGTTGCTCTTTAATAACCCTGACTTTGGGCCAGTAGCGTCCCACATGCCGTGCTCATGTTATTGTAGTCCTCAGCACCTGCCCTGGGAGGGAAGGCGCGCTCTCAGCCGACAGGTAAGAAAACCAAGGTGCCAAGAAGGGGTGTGTGGTGAGAGTGGCCTGATAAGTAAACAAAGCAGAGTTTGTATTTGCTCAGTCTGGTATCCCTAGGGGTAACCCTGGCAAGGCACAGGACCAGCTGGGGACAGAGTTGGAATGGGATCGAGTCTCTCCAAAGGCAGAGCCCATTTTCTTAACCCCGTGGTGACCCCAGGAGAAGAAGGTGCGGGGAGATGCAGGAGGGTGTGAGACACAGCATCCCAGTCCTCGGACTGAGCTGACAGCGCCCCTGGCAACAACTCTGAAACACTTCCTAACTGATTCCCCCCATGCCCCACAGCAGCAAAACCTCCAGTAAATCTCTAGTGCCCGATGTTAGCTTACCCGTTGAAGTCTGGGTTAGTTGAATGTTGAGACTGATTAATGTTCAAAGGTTCTTCTCCTCGCAGGCTGCCTGGAGAGTCTGAGAGCTTTGCTGAAGGACTCCAACCACCTGGTGCGGATCAAGGCCACGGAGGTGCTGTCCATCATGGCGGCCCACAACGTGGGCAGGTGGGCTGCTGCTTGTGGAAACCAGTGTCAGGCCTTGGAGCTACATCCCACCCCTGGGTGGCATGCCCGTGAAGGAACTTCAGTGCTCTGAGTTCTTGTCTGCAGCACAGTTCTTTGATGGGAATTCTGTTTGGCCAGAACAGGCTTCGGTGGGGTGGTTTGGGGTGCCTCTGTGGGCACCTGACCAGACCCACTTTTACGTGAGTTCCCTGGTCTGAGCCTTCCCCTCGGAAGGTGAAAAGAAAGTTCAGGCCCCACACCTACAACTGTTTAGCCTTTTTCTTTTAAAAAGTTAAATGAAAAGATTTTTAAATTGATTTTAGAGTGAGAGAGAGAAAGAAGCGGGGAGAGGGATTTGTTGTCCCACGTATTCGCGTGTTCATTGCTTGATTCTTGTCTGTGCCCTGACCAGGGATCGAATCCACAACCTTGGCAATATTGGGATGATGCTCTAACCCAGAGATGTCAAACTCATTTTCTCCAGGGACCACGTCAGCCTCGCGGTTGCATTCGAAGGGCCAAATGCAATTTTAGGACTGTATAAATGGAACTGCTCCTTAACAGTTAAGCAAGACTTCAGCGCCGCTGCTGGGTAGAATAATGTTTATCTGGCCAGGCCAGATAAAACAAGGTGGAGGACTGGATTCGGCCTTTGGGCCTTGTGTTTGCCACCTCTGCTCTAATCGGTTCAGCTACCTGGCCAGGGCCCAGCCTTTTGTTGGCTCTTTATGGGGAGACCAGTTCCCTCTCCCAGACCCTGACAGGGCCTAAGGCTTTGGCTCCCATCCCCATGCAAGTGGTAAGGCACCAGCCTCAAAAGTGTCCACCTGGTCTGGGCCGGTGGCTTCGACCCCTGCTCACGATGCTGAGGTTCTTCCATGTTTCTGGCACCTGGAACTGGGCCTTTCCTGTGTAAGCACAGCTGCCAATCTCCCACTGAAGAAGTGGTTTATATAGCATTTGGTTAGGAGTCCGTTCCTGTGTGGGGCTGTTGGAGGTGCTTTCCCACAACCGCTCAGTTTATCCTCTTGGCCTGGAAACACTAGTTTTACCTTATAGTAAAAACAGATCCAAAAATGACAGAGGGCCCCCAGGCCTGGCCAGGGACCGCTGCCCAGCATGCACGTGCCCAGCAAGGAAGGAAGAAAAGTGGTGATAGGAGGGATGACAGAAGGCACTGCAGGGACAGGGTGTTTACTGCTGTGGGCACGCTACAGGCAACAGATGCCCCTTCAAAGAAGCTTCACATCCTCTCATGGTAGCAGGGCATCTCACAGCACGTAAGGTCTTTAGGTCTCATCTGTCCCCAAACCCTCAGGGCCTCAGGGGCCTCTTCTGTGTCTGTGCATGGAGCCGGGAGTTAAATGAGTTCACACACCTGAAGTGCTCAGCCTGGGACACCTCGGACCTGTTTGCCCCAAGTTTACCTGGGCAGCTGCTCCTCTCTCTAGGACTGCAGCCTCCCTCCCCTGCAGTCTCTGAATCCACACATCCATGTGCTCAGGGCCGTCTCCAGACGGCCACCCTGGTCCCTCAGTCCCCTTGACCTCCCCCAACTCCCTGACTCCTCTCTGGGATCTAATTTCAGGTCCCGTGTGCAATCACTAGGACGGGGTGCATGTGGAGAGGTGGTGCCATAGTGAGACTCAAAAGTGAGTCTCTTTAAAAACTTTAATGATTGTAAAAGATTCTGGCAGATGCCCTGGCCAGTATGGCTCACTTGGTTGGAGTGTCATCCCATAATCAAAAGTTTGCTGGTTCAATTATGGTCAGAGCACATACCTCGGTTGTGGGTTCAATCCCCAGTATGGGTGCAAGTATGTGCAACCCCCTGTCTGGATGAGCGAGGTTCCTGGTCTTGGCAATGACCCCTACTCATTGTGTCTGGGAGGCAAACAACGGATGCATCTCTCTCTCACAGATGTTTTTCTCTCTCCCTAAAAACAATGAAATAAAAAGTCCTTGGATGAGGGTAAAAAATAAAATAAAATAAGATTCTGGCAGGTTTTAGCATGCAGATTCCTTCATTATTGTCTTTGTAGTGTTGTTCTACTTTAGAGAAACCAAAGTTGCAAATTTACAGGCACCAAGAAGGGGACAGAGTGGATGGGGGTGGGAGCCCTGGCCTAGGGGGTCAGGGACCCCTCCCTTTCCTGCTCTGTGTCCTGGCAGGACCCTGGGTGGTGTCTCGTGGTGCTGCTCTGGGACTGACCGAGGGCCAGTGCCTTAATACCTTAGGGTCACAGAGGAGCGAAGCATCTTTTGTTCTTCCTGCTCCTCTTTTTTCTTTCGGGACCTGACATGGACATTAGGTAGTAACCCCCAGTGCGGGGTGATGGACGCTAAGTGGCAGAGATGCTTGAACCTGGGCAGGTCTAAGGAAACTGTCAGCCCAGTGAAGGTGGTGGTGGGTTTGTTTACCGGCCCTAGGAGGTCTGGGCAGGGTGGGGCGGAGGTTTCCCACTGTGGCTGCGTCGTTGGGGTGGGCTTGGCCAGGACACGGGCCCCTATTGGGCACGTGCCAGCTGCTTGAGTTCTTCAGTCACCCTGACCTCAGCGAGGCAACTGGCGTGGTCAGCGCCCAGGAGTCCCAAACCCTGGCTCACTGTATCATGCCACGTCAGACAAAGCATGCAAAGGGCCAAAACCAAGTGGGAGCAACTTCTGAAGTTCTCCCGGGGCTCAGTGGCAACCTTATAACTGAAGCCAGAAGCTCTCAGAGCCTGTCAAGGGCTAAGTACCTTCCCATGTTGAAACCCTCTGCCCTCTTGTGCCCAAGTAGTGACAGACAGGGGGTCGGGGGCAAGCCTGGGACTTGGCATCTTGTCACCCCGAGGAGTTAGTCTGTACAATGGCCCACACATAGGAGAGCCTCCTGGGTGGCCTGGTTCCCCCTGCCCCGCTGTTGCTCACCTGCTGGGGGTTGGGGCAGATGCCCTAATGACAGACACAGCAGATTTACAAAACAGAGGTGACACGGGGTGGGCGACTGGGTGCTGACCGAAGGGGGCTCAGACACCTCGCACCAGGTGGTCAGGGCAGATGCTGGGCAGCTTGGGTGACACCCTGCTGTTTTCTTCTCCAGGGACAACGCAGAACACCCCACAGGGCTGAGTCCCATCCAGCCCAGCAGAAGCAGTTTGGTGGGGCCCTTCCTGTGTGCTGGGGCCGGGCGAGGGGCTCACACTGGGTTTTCACCTATCCCGACCCCGGCCCTGGAAGGTGTGACCTCAGAAGTCCTCTGGACAGATGAGGTCGGGTAGCAATGAGTTGGTTAATCAAAACAAATGGTTGAAGAGCCAGGACTTGGAGAAATTGTGCATTCCCTTGAAACAGTTCATTTTAGCTGCAAACACAAATGATTAGGCATTCATCAACCTCTGTGTGCCGTTCAGGCCTACTCTCGGGTAAGGACCCACTAATTGCTGTTTCCCATCCTCTTTCAGGCTGAAACCACACCTGTAACCTCATCTCATTTGCAGCTTTGGTTTTTAAAAGTAGAGCAAGAACTCAGAAATTAATGAAGTAATCTGTATGCAAAAACCTTGCAGAAGCTTTTACAGTCATCTCCCCTTTTTTTTTAGAGAATCACTTTTGAGTCTTCTCATAAGGAAATTAAAAAAAACTCTCCTCTCCTCTAATTGGCATTCCTAATATTTAATTAACTCATATAATTATAACAACAAGGATAACAAGCGCACACGGGTCTGGAGGCACCTCCGCTGGGAGCGAGGTTGCCTCCCAGTGCTGGGCGGGTGGAGCGAGGCAGTCACTCAGCTGGCAGTTTGGGCCTGCTGCCGCGTTCCCATTTTACAGACAATAAGACTGAGGCTCAGAGGAGTAAGAGGAAGGATCCAGAGCACAAAGAATGAGAGCTGGAGCCCTAGCTAGGGAGGGGCATAGCTGTGGCTCTTTCCACCACCCCCCGCCCAGCCACACTGCCCTCATGGCCTGAAGAGTTTCTGTAGTATGTTGTCCACGCCAGGCCTTCGCCTTCTCTCCGGAAGCCAGAGGGGTGTGGTCTGTAGCAGCCAGCGCAGGCTCAGAATACAGGTGGGGCTGAGGGTGGGCAGCTGACTCTTGGTTCTTCCTTGTCCTCTCAAAGCTTGGTCTTAGTTGTGTCTAAATCTGACTTCTCTTCCCCAGAGAAGGCTTTTTGGAGCATGACATCATCGCCGCGCTGTCCTTCTTGCTAAACGACAGCCAGACCGCCTGCCGGGTGAACACGCACTTGGCATTCAAGCACCTGGCCCAGCTGCCTTCAGGTAGGCTCCCAGTGGGCGCTCGGCAGCCCCTCAGTCTCCTGTCCAGGTCAGGCATGAACCGTGCTGCCGGTCACAGTCTAGAGCACATTTCTTAACAAAGTTATGCTTTAATTAAGGGACAACATACAGACTATCATGCATGGACATCTGGTTAAATTGTACTAAGCAAACATGCACAGAACCTCCACCCAGATTTGGATGTGTCTGGAGCACCCCCACTCTCCAGATACTTCCAACAGGCCGCCTGCCTGATCCTGCCCTCACCGGAGGTAAACAGGATCTTTGACTGATACGACCGAAGATTAGTTCATGCCTCTTTTAAAACTTTACGCTGATTTGCACTGGAGTGTGGTATTTGCATTATATTACAGTTTATTTATCCCCTAAATAAAGTAGTTTATTATCCACTGTTGCCAATGGGCATTCGAATGGTTTCTAGGGCTTGGCTACCAAGAATACATACAACAGCTGTAAACAGACGTCTTTTGGTGGACCTTGTATATATTTCTTTTGAGTTATACCTAGGAGGAGAATTGCGGGGCATAGGATAAGTTTGTGTCCAGCTTTAGAAGATACTGTAAATGGTTTTTGAAAAGTTGTATCAGTTTACACTCCCACCAGTAGTCTCATCCACACTCAATCTTTCCCATCTTTTCATATTAGCTATTTTGGTGAGTGTGTGGTAATGTCTCATTGGAGCTTTAATTTGTATTTCCCTGTTGATAATAACCCTGTAAATGTCTTCTTCTGTAAAGTGCCATAACATGCTTTTAAGGATTAAAAATGCCTGCCCCCAAAGGCCACTCTGCCTCCGGCTTGATGTCCACAACCCTCCCCAGTTAGACACAGAGTCCGGGATAATGGCCACCCGAGGGCAGAGATTTGTGTCAGCTTGACATTTACCCCATCTGTGTTATGCAATGAGCATTTCAAATGAGGGGCTCATTCAAAAAGGCACACTATCGGGCCTGGGAGTGCCCTCAGGTGGACAAATGGCCTTGGAAGCCCAGGAGTCAAACAGACCTGGGCTCCCACTGCCCTGCCCCCCCTTCTCTGAGTGGCCCGGGACAGGCTGTCATGAGGCTGATGACACCTACCTGGAGGCCTGAAGCAAGGGTCACGTGGGAAGATGCTCCCCCACCATGTGGCCCAGCACCCCACACAAGGTGAGCTGGAAACATTCAGGGCCAGGAGTGAGCACTACCTGAAGGAAGGTCCCAGAGAGCATAACGGTGGCAGGATGAGGTGCAGTGAGGCAGGCCTAATGGAGTGGAGCCCTGGAGAGAGGGTGCTGGGTGTGGGGGTGTGGACTGGGTTGGACAGCAGAACTCCTGGTGGTCTTTTAAAAAGACCACCCTTATCCCTTGTTGGAAGGGCTCTGTGGATGAGGATCAGCCCACACTTTTCTTACAAGGACCGTGGCTGATTCTTTCATGCGGTCATGGTGGAGGGGCACTGGGGTACTGGGATGTTTTTCTATGAAGGGCCGGTGCCAGGGGCCAAGCCCTGTGCTTGCTCTGCAAGGACCTTGAAAGAGTTGAGAGAAGTAGAGAGACAATGATAATGAACATGAGATACCATCACTTGGCTTTGCTCAATCTTAACATTCTACCCTATTTCATATGTGCTTGAGATTCTTCTTTTAAAAAAAGATACAGTTCGAGCCCTGTGTGAACTGTGTGAACCTTCTCTGCTCAGCACCCTTTCTCCTGCCCTCCCTGGAGCCACCAGTAATTTGGGGATAACATCCCCAACGCACATCTTTATATTTTGCCACAGACTTAATTAGATAGAGATCTTTCCTCTCATGTTTTCAAACTCAATGTGGATGGACCTTGCTGTCTGTGTCTCTTTGCTACTCAAAGGAATATAATGTTACAATTTTGAGTTTTCACCTGCCGCGTCACGGGCTCTATTTCATTCTGATAACCATGGCATGCCCTTCTGGTGTTTGGGTGGATACTGACATGCAGTGCACTCCCCCGGCCCGGCCAACAGGCCCGCCAGCTGTGTCGTGTCTGCCCCCGAGCGCTGAGGAGCTCGGCTGGAGGAGAGCGTCATGGGGCACGGAGGGTGCAGGCCTGCAGCTTGGCCTGATGTTGCGTCTGCTTCCAGCCCACCCAGCTGCATCCTGGCCGCGCTGTGCTGTGTCACCGTTGTGTCGCTTTCTTGTCTCCTGTGACTGGGGGAGGAGGCATCTTTCCTCCGCCTGGCGCCACCCCGGTCTCCTCTCCTGCCCGGTGCCTCTGGGGAGCCCAGACCCATTTGCTGTTTCCATTTCTTATCGATTTGAGGGAGTGTTTCATTTATCCTGGGTTCCAGCCCGTCCGGAGTTACACACACTGGAAATGCCATTTCCCGGGCTGGTTTGTGTGGCTTTTTGCTGTTTGTTTACTCAGTAGTCCAGCAGTTTTCCATTCGAATGTGATCAGTTTCATCAGTCTTCTTCTTCTTCTTTTTTTTTTTTTTTGGTGGGGGGTGCTATTTAAGAGAATTTGGTGCTGTGCAAGAGCTCACGAAGACATTTTGCCATATTTTCTTCTAAAAGTGTGAGTTTAGCCCTGGCTGGTGTAGCTCAGTGGATCGAGCACGGGCCTGTGAACCAGACAATCGCGGTTCGATTCCCAGTCAGGGCACATGCTTGGGTTGCACGCCGGTTCCCTGCTGCAGGCCACTTCCCAGCAGGGGACGCACAAAAAAAAGGCAACCATACATTGATGTTTCTCTCCCTCTCTCCTTCCCTTCCCCTCTAAAGATAAATAAATAAATAAATAAATCTTTAAAAGTGTGAGTTTAGCTTTTTACATTGAGCTTGTGAAGGTCGCTGGAATGGATTTCTATTCGTCTGTGTCAAGATCCTCCTGTCTAGCCCTGGCCAGGCCAACACTGTCTGAATCACAACTACTCTATGGTAGTCTGGGTTCTGGTGGGAACTGGTTCCGGTCAGAACTGGCCCCACCCCTGCATCTCTTCCCTGCAAACTTCTCTGGAATCTCCATGTTGTGGGTGTGCCATGAACAGTGGGGGCCGGGCGCCCCGGTCCTGACGAGCCTCCACCTTCACTGCTGGGTTTCCTGGGTGTTTTGAACTGCCTGTGATGTGTCCAGTCGGGAGGCCTGGGATGCCGTCTGGAGGGAGGGAGGGAGACATGCAGCGTGGTGAGCATCCCACGGGGTCCTGCTGGCGGTGGGGCTCCGAGTGCTGTGGCTTCTGCACAGGCCAGTGTCCTTTGGGGGTGTTCTCCCAGGGGCTCTGGGTGGGCTGAGGGCATCTGTTTCAGTGGCTCCACCATTATCAGCGGTGGCTCTGGTGTCGCCTCACTATGTGTGGGTAACAGTGGGCAGTGTGGCGCCTGCATGGTGTGGCCAGGACGCCTGCACCCAGGGTTCAGCCATCCCTCCTCGTGCTGGTAGTCGTCAGTCAGTGTGGGCTTTCTACCCGCAGCCGCCCTGAAGGCACCTTCTGCCCAGGTGATGTGCCTGGCGTGTGGCCAACACTCAACAACTATGGGCTGTTTAGCGGGATTTGTAAAGGTCACTTGTTAGTTGTTTTCTTGCTGCAGTTCGCTCACTCATCCCTTCATTTGTTTGACAAATGTGTGTGGGGAGTGCAGGTTTTCCTCTGAGTCCTGCTGCTGGGTGGAGTCTGGCTTACTGTGTGTTTCCCAAAGTAACCAGCAAGGGGTGCTACAAGACCGATGACCGCCCGACTGGGCTGTGCTGTGACCTCGGGCCTCAGGGTGGGCCCGGCGCAGGTGAGGAGAGACCAGGATTGCGGAGGCAAAGGCCACGCAGAGGCTGCAGGTCCAGGCTCCCCTGGGTGCCTGCCGGCGGTTCTGGAGCAAACCTGCCTCCTTCTGTGGCCAGGTGCTCAGCTCCAATGCTGAAAGTGAGGACTCTTCTGTAACTGATTTTGGGGTGCAGCTGAATCTCTGCAGAGAAGGAAGACACTTCCGGGAAGTGTTCCCCTACCAGACCCCCTGGCCATGCCCAGGCTCCCTGGGCCCCCTCTCTGATGGTGGCCTTGGGCCCTGACTGGCACACCCAGGAGGGAGTCTGGCCTGGCTGCTCCCCTGTCAGTCCCTCCGGCTCCAGGCTTGGAGCTGCCGGGCTCTAGCTGTAGTGTGCGGTAAGGACTGCTCCATCCTGACCCTTGCGTGCAGCCTGGGTTTGGGGGTAGTGTGCGGGTGGAGGCAGATGCCCCTCCTTGGGGGTGGGAGGCTGTGAGGATGTGCTCAGGCCCCTGCTGTGGAGACTGGCTCCGTGGCCTTAGGAAGGAGCAGGGCGCGGCCAGAGCAGGGCGCGGCAAGGGAGGGACAGGACACAGAAGCAGAGATGTCTGGACACAGGTTTGATCCTGGTAGTCTTGAGGTGCTGCTGGGGGACGTTCCAGAAGCCACATGCCATCAGGGCTAGAGAGAGAAGTGGGGAGGGGTGGCTGTAACGGGGAGGGGGGAGCTGAAGCTGGGGGAGTAGTGGAGATAGGTGAGCGGCTGCTGGAGAAGCAACACGGGGTGCCCTCCCCTTCTGCTGGGCGAGGTGGTGCGGAGCAGTCTCGCCCTTTCCACTCCTGGCCCTGTCACCTCAGGGGGGCTGCCCCGGAGGGGCGGGTCTTTCCTTTTCATCTGCCTTGGGGGGACAGGGCGGGGCCACTGGCTGCTGGTCAGCCTGTCTTTGAGGACTTAGCAAATATTCCTGGACTTAGCAAAGGACGACTACCACCAGTGGGGACACTGCCCTTCTGAGCCCCGGCCGCTGCACCTGCCAGATGCCTCCTCTCTCTTCACCCTCCCACCCCACCTGCCCCTCCAGTGGGGACTGCCTTTCCCTCTGACCCCGCCAAGCCCTGCCATGGTCCCCGTGTCTACTCCTATGCCCTCTCATGGGGCAGGTGGCCTTTCTCGGCCTTCTCCAAGATTTTCATAATATTCCCAGGTGGTTTCGGACAGCCCATTACACATGAAATTACCAGAAAGATCAGGTCCTCCCTGGGCATGTGCTGGGCATAACCAGCTGGCGCCCAGCCCAGGACCCACTCAGCACCAAAGCCCCTCCCCTCCAGCTCTCAGCCAGGCCAGCCCAGCGGGGTGTGGGTGGCCTTTCCTAGCACTTGCTGCTCTGCCCGCTAGACCCACACAGACGGGGCACCGCCCCTGCAGACCCAGGCCCGGTTGGGTCCCTTGTTGCACCCTGTGTGATGGTAGGAAGTCACCCCCTCTCAGGGTCTCTGCTTTCTTTTCTGTAAAATATGTGATCTGACTGAAGAAATGCCACTGAGTGCTGCTGGAATGTCTTGCACGTGACGGACAGCAATGCGAACATTTCACCTAAAATGTCATATGGTGTGCTCAAGTGTGATACTATTATGTCACAGAATTACATGCTTATGATTTTGTGATAAAAGATTGGCTATAAATCACCAGCAGATAAGATAGGGGCATTACTTGTGCTGGACCCTGTGGAACCAACGATCTGGGCTTTCCAGGAGTGGGAGGGGCCAGGTGTGCTGTGAGCCATCACTGAGGGGAGCTGGGGTATTGTGTGACTCTGTCATTTTCCCATCACGTCACCTGTGGGGGAGGAAAACAATGTCCATGGAGCCTATGTCCAGGGAGAGGATGGTGGGCCCTGGTGGTTGGTCCTGGGAGGATTTAGTCACTTTGCAGAAGGTGGGCTCGGCCCAGCTCCCCCTGCACAGGGGCGGGCCTGTGTCCTTCAGGTGGTGCTCCACCGCCTCTAGCCTCCCCTCGCCATCCCCTGTGCTGACCCCTCAGCTGATTTTCTTCCCAGACCTTCAGCTCCGCCCAGCTCCTGCCTTTCCCGGCTGCACACTGCTTGGGCCGTGGACGAAGGGGGTGGGTCAGACAGTGTGGACGCCTCTCCCCACCTCTCCCTCCCGGGGGCGCGCTAAGAGGTGGAGTGCAAGATCGAGGGGACCTCCAACACCCAGGATGCTGAGCGCTGAGGGTCAGAGGGATCTTAGACTGAGGGTGGAGAAGGGGACGTCCCAGCAGGCTCCTGGGGACAAATGGGCGCAGTGGAGGGTGGGAGCCCCAAGGAACACTGGCCCCGCGCAGCTTCCTCCCAACTCCGAACGCCTCCGGAGAGAAGGCAGAGTCCTCCCGTCTCCCTCTAGCTGTGTATTTTTAGGTTAAAGATGCTCACAGTGAGATTACTGCTCTTTTCACGGTTGGCATTAAAAGCGCAAAATAAGCCTCAATGATTATGTCACACGTTATTTCTTCTTATACAAGAGTCCCCTCGGGCTTTTGCTGTTTGGTGACGTGGGACGGCGTGGAGGGAATCCCCACATGGGCTCAGGGTGGCAGGGCGTGAGGAGAAAGCGAGGTTCGAGAGTGTGTCTGCGTGCTGAGCGTCTGTGTGCGCGTGCCTGTGAGTGCGCGCCTGTCCGCCGCCCCGCGCCCAGGGCTCTGTGTAGGTCCCGGATCCAAGGCGGTCACGAAGAGGGGCTCTGTGCCTCCCGCAGGCTCTGCCCGTCCATCCAGGGGCAGAGGCAGGTGAGGACCAGGACTCAGGAGGCACAGCCCCCTCCTGCTCTTCCTGGGAATGACATCTCCACCAACCCCTGACCTTGGTCTGGGGCCCCTTTCCTCATCTATACGATGGGTCACCACAGACAACCTACCATGGTAGTGAGTGTTAAGTAAGTAATTTGCAAGCAGCCTGGTGCAGGGTGAACAAAGTTCCTTGACCTCTGATTAGTGCTCTCCGCCACATGGAGACACCGCTAATAATCAGCAAATGAGGGGTCTCTTCCCCACACCGGGCAGGGCTTGCCCTGCACTGTGGGGGGCACCCTCCTGGCTGTGCAGACACCACCTCTGCTCTGAGGACAACTCTGGCCCCGGCAGAGGTGCCTGTAGGGTATGAGGAGTCGGAGTGATAGTGCCACCTGGGCGGGGTCTTGGGGACAGCAGGAGCCATCATCACCCCCAAACCTCAGCCTCCTGGGAAACCGGTGACTGGTGAACCCCACTTGTGCAGGCTCTTTCCTCTTGTGAGGTTGTTCCTGATTTCCTTTCAAGATGATTTTTACCTGAATACGCGAGTGGGGCGGGGTGTGGCGCAGAGAAAAAGGAGGCTCGGGGTGGAAGGGGCCCCAGCTGCCCTCCCAGACGTCAGCCCTGCACACACAGCTGAGACGAGGCTTGGCTCATTCAGGATATTTTATTTTCTTAAAGTAGACAATCTTTGACTTTCATACCACACCAGCTCCTCTTCCCTCTGTACATCTCTGAAAGTCCTTGGATGCAACTCTGCGCCCTGACCTTGGACGCGACTCTGGGCCCTGACCTTGGACACACGGGTACCAAACAAAGGCGAAGAGAGAAGATCTGGCAGGGTCTCTGGTGGTGCCTTCCCTCTCCGCAGCGGGGGTTCGGATTTGTACGAGGCCCTCGGCCAAGGTCCTTTCACGGTGGCAGGTGCCACGGGCCCCAGGGCAGAATGGCCGGAGCTGGCAGTCCCAGCAGGGCCTCCCTCAGGCTGCAACGTGGGCGGAGCCTTCACAGGAGTCACAGCCGCTCTCAGCCTTGGGCGCCGGGTGTTCGGGGCCAGGGCCCATCTCTCGCCTTCCCTTCCTCCACTTGCAAAGCCACACAGACAATGTAATCTTTAAGTACCAAGATATTTAGCTATTGTTCATTCGCTCCCAGGTGAGGAACCTTCTTTAAATACATCACATTTATTTTCTGAAATAAAAACGAAGCAGAAACCGCACCAGTAACGAGAGGACGCTGCGCAGGCATATGTACAACGCTGCCCTGCGAGGCGGCCGCCGCTCCAGCGTCGCTCGGGAGCAAGGGACAGACTCGTCCAGACAACAACTGTTACGCTCAGCAAGCCAGACACAAAAAGGACCACCTGAAAAAAAATAGGTTTCGAAAATCTGCATTTTTAAAAAAGAACACTCAACTGCATTTGAAATTGTCTGTATTTGTTTTTCTGCGAAACACCACAAGGTTTGGCCAAAAAAAAAAGGATGTCAGAGAAGAAAAACCAGGTTTGATTTATAAAACACCAGACGAATAGAAGAAAAGCTGGAACCCAGCTGGCCAGGTTGGAAACCAATCGTGCCACTCACGTTATTATATGGATTTTTGCTGCATATTTTGAAGCTGTTTAAAAAGGGCTGTGAGTGGCTGGAGGTTAGGGCTGTCCGCTGGCTGCGCACCCTGGTTCCAGAGCGGAGTGGGCCGGAGGTGGGCGTGTCCCGCAGGGAAGATGCTCGGACCCTCTCTGGTCCTCCCTCCTGGTCGGGGGCAAGGCCCCTATTCTAGGGCAGGGCTGGCCCCTCCAGGTGGCCCAGCTGCCTCCCCCATAGTCCCACAGGGGCCCCCATGCAGAGTGGGGCCAACTTGGGGACGGGAAAGGGCTTGTAGGGACCTTGGTGGCAGCTCCTCAAGTCTTCAAGAGACCTTGATGCTTCAGGGGACTTGGCTGTCTCCAGACTGAGTGCGTGTGTGTGTGTGTGTGTGTGTGTGTCTACCTACCTAGCGTCTATCCGTATGTATTTATGTCTGTGGAAATGTGGGGGCCAAGGAGGCGGAGGGGTGGAGGGACGTTCTTCAGGCCCCCCGTTTTCGGCCCCCAGGCTGGGGTCTCCCTAGCACGAGTGGAGCTGGGGTGTGACACCCCAGGGGTTTCATCCCAGACAGGCGGGCTGGCCCAGCCCCTCAGCAGAGGCCTATGTACTTGAGATTGTTCTGTATGATGACATCTGTCACTGCGTCAAAGACGAACTGGATGTTACTGGTGTCGGTGGCGCAGGTGAAGTGGGAGTAGATCTCCTTGGTCTCCTTGTTGCGGTTCAGGTCCTCGAACTGCCGCTGGATGTACACGGCGGCCTCCTCGTAGGTGTTCTGGCCCTTGTACTCCGGGAAGCAGACTGTGAGCGGGATGCGCCGGATCTTCTCCGCCAGCAGGTCCTTCTTGTTCAGGAAGAGGATGAGTGAGGTGTTGACGAACCAGTTGTTGTTGCAGATGGAGTCGAAAAGGCGCAGGCTCTCTGCCATCCGACTCTGGGGGGCCAGGGGAACAGGCTGGCATTAATCTGGTGCAGCAAGGAAAGGCCCTAGACCCCCAGCCTTGGCAGTCTCCCAGCCTGGGGCTGGCCCCCACCAAATCACCCTTCTGTTGGGAAGTCCCGCCTCTGTTGGGTCAACTGTCTTCACCATCTCCCACGGGCTCTGGAGCCCCGAAGTGGCTGGGCCCTGCGTCCAAGCCCCAGGAGCCTGGCATCTCCTTCCCTGCTGGCCCCTCCTCTGGGCCCTAGTAGTAACAATATGTAGCTTTTGGGGGGAGTACCTTCTTTTTGGGGCAGCAGCCCGGCATCCCTCAGCCTGGTGGAACGGGGCACCTCCACCCTCACAGCCTGAGGGCCCAGCTCGCCCAGCCTGCACATACAAGCTCGTCCCCCATGGGAAACACAATCATCACGATCACCACGTCCCCCTCAATGCGGGCCTGGGCAGCCTTCTGCCTGGTGGCCAGCCCCAGCCTGCAAGCCCTGCTCCCACCATGTGTGCTGCTGTCAGTCCACCGGAGTTTGTGGGGCGCGGCCTGCGCTTTCAGGGCCTTGGGGTCCCTGGCGGTCACATGTGGCCTCCCCCAGCCCAGGCAGATCCTGAGCCCCCTGCCCCTCCTGGTGTGGCATGGGATGGCAGCTCAGAAGGTGCAGGAGCCACAGGGCATGGCGGTGCCTGGCCCTTCTTTACCACCCCCCGGGCTGAGCACCTTAAATGTGCTGTAGTGACTGTGGTTTTCTAAGAAACATAATGTGTCTGTCTGACTCCCAAGCCCACAGTTTCCACACGGAACTGACAGTTCTAGCCGCTAAGAGGAACTTCTACTGCTGGTGAATTACTGCTGGCGGAAGCTGCCCTCATTTAAAAATAAAATGACAGCTGAGTGTCCAAAGTCTAGAACCAGTTTCGCTTGGATCTGGGGCTTTGGATTTAAGCACTTTTCTGACCAAGCGTACCACTGGCATGGTAACAACAGTGAGAAACACAGCTGGTGCCCACAGTGTGGACGCTGGCACCGGCCTGCTGATCCTCACACCTTCCTGTTCCCATTATACCAGTGAAGAGACTGAGGCTCAGAAAGGCATGAAACATGCTCCAAGTCCCATGGCCCAGAGTTCCAGGCTCACTGCCGTCCCTGGGGCAGACAGGGGGTGCTGCCGGATTCTAGGGAGTCACCCCAGGGTGGGGGTGCCAGGGAGGATGCCACACGGAGACCTCGCCATCCCACAGACCCTGAGTTGTCTGAGGTAGGGGTCCGACAGTGACAGTGCTGAGGAGGGACCGGGCTGGACAGGGGGAAGACGCCCGGGGCCACGGTCATTACCCCCGACAGCTGGCCTGAGATCTTGCACTTTACCCGCTGATCCTGATTTTCAAAACTGATGTTGCACCTTCCTTAACAAGCTCAGGAACCACAGAAGCTGTAAAGAGTGCGGAGTCTCGGGCCTTGGGGGGAGGGCCTTCTGCAGAGACACAGAGTGCTGGAGCCCCGCTGCCAGCGGTGCAGCCGCGCACGTCCCAAATGTGAGCGCTAAGTGGTGCGCCAGGGTTGTCACATTCTGTGGGGTGCAATCAGCGTTTGTGGATTCCTGGAAGCCACTCCGTGAGACTAACCAAACCGTCATTTCTCACAGGGGTGATGTCATAATCAGGGGCTGCACTTCTGACCCCACATTTTATACCAGATAAATAATAGATGTGGTCATTAGCACATATTCATTAATTCATTGAGCTAATCGTTGCTGAGCATACCTGGGGGTTCAGTGACAGGTCCCAGCTCTTCTGACAGGGGTTAAAGCCCCAGAAACCAGGCAGAGGGCTTCCCCCCAAGGCTGAGAGGGGCACGGTTGGGCCATCAGTAGGGGGGACCCAGCAGGCCAATGGCTGGGGATGCAGCTGGGCTTTGAGAGTGGGGGGGGGCAGCCCAGAATGAGGGCCAGGCAGGCAGAGGGGATGGGACATGCTCAGGGTCCTGGCAGCGGTATCCGGAGGGGGCCAAGGCCTGCCTCCCCGAGCCCTGCTGGGTCCCTTGGGTGAGAGCCGGGCGGCTCTTGTGCCCAGCCAAGCCTGGACAGACAGGCCTGAGAAGAGGGGCAGGAAGGCCTCTCCACACACTGAGGTGGGCGTGTGTGCAGGCCACAGTCACGCAGGGGGCTCGGCTGGGGGGGTACATGTAGGTGGGAAAAACTCGGCCGCGGGGTCCGGAGTGGAGCGCAGTGGAGCTGGCCTGCACAGCCCGCTTGCCCTCTTCCTGCTCTGCACACACTCCAAGCCCCTGACTCCCGACCCCCAGGACCCGCCCCCGGGGGGTCCTGATGCACTGAGAGCCCTTCTGCCCAGTTCGAGCCTCCGCCCGGTGGCAGACATGGGCCCCTCAGAGAGTGAAGTGGGACAGCTCTCTGGCCCTCACACTCCCTGCTTGGAAATCCCTGGAACTCAGGCACGCGTCCCCTGAGGTGGCTGGGAGGGCAGCAGTGCCCTCGGCCACCCCTTGCACTTGCTCATAGTGTCACTGTGCTTGTGCAGTCACATCAGGGCCACAGACCAGGCATCACCGTCATCTCAGGCCCTCGCCCACTCCTGTGGCTCCTCTGGCTTTGCAGGCACTCAGGCTCAGGCCTCCAGTTCCCTCTCTTCCTTGGGACAAACCATGGGGACCACGCTGGCCATCACTGAGGTGCCAGGGAGATGACGGGCATCATAGATGAACCACAAAACCTTTGTGTTGGTGCCCTGCCCCCATGGTCCTGCCACAGAGTGGCTGGGTGGGGTGGGGCCAGAGCCCTCTGGTCCTTTGACACTGTGCCCATGGTGTCACCGCCACTGCAGCATGCATGTTCCTGCAGCCCAAGCGCTGCCAGGTGGGCAGAGCAGCACCTTGACACCTCAAATCTCAAATCATTGAAAAAGGAGCTTGCTATTTTGGGCTGTAACTCTGGAAACCGCGAGGAGCACGTGCGAGTGTGAGTACAGGAGGAGGGAGCCCACCAGCCGCTGGGGTCTCCCTGCAGGCCACAGCAGCACAGCTGTCAGCTTCCCTTTTCCTCCCACCTCTCCACATCCTGCTTACACTCCATGGCCTCGCTCAAGGCCTCCTCTTCCTGGAAGCCCCCCTGACTTTTTCCTACTGCTCCTGCACTCAGCTTTCTGTGGCACACATCTGGCTGTGCCCTGCACCAGGATACAGCCCCTCAGTATGGCCTTTGGGGACCCTTCTGGCGTATGCCGACCCCCGGTTGGGTGTTCATGGCCTGGGTGCCAGCTGTAGCCCCCCTCTTCTCCTCCCCAAACCTCTCCCTAATCCGGGGAAGGTTCCACCCTGCCACCCAATTCTGCCCATTTGGTGTCCTGGGTCAGAGCTGCCTCCGAGGACCAGGAAGCTGGTAAGGCAGGTTAAGAACCATCCTCATGGGGTCCTACTGGGCCCCTTTGGTGAGAGAAGCCAGGAGCAGCTTTGGCATCATTGTACCATGTCACCCCCCCTTGTCCTGCTGCCACTTCCACCAGCTTGACGCAAACATCTTCCCTGTAGACTCAGAATCAGAGAGCTGCTTCTGCCACTCAGGGCCATGCTGCAAGGTGGGGGGGGGCACGACCCACCTCACATGCAGGGGGACAGAGATGGAGGCCTGGGCGGCCGACTCCCAGGCCTCGGCCGGGAGCCTGAGTGTCCACCAAGCACACCTTCTGCCGGCCAGCAGCCCTCCTTGCATTTACCTCTCCAGCTGCGAAGGCGGCAGAGGTCATGGATGCTTCTCCTGGGAGGAAACGCACCCAGCCCGGCTCTCTCCAGGGCCCGCTCGTCAGGGAGATGGCACCTTCCAGGAGTCTGGGGTTTGTCTGCACATTTGTTAACATGAATATCACAGGGCAGATGATCCCTGTCGGGAGCCTGCGGCGCAGTGGCGGGAATCTCCTCAGTGGTGAGGAACCAGTGCCCTGTGACAAAGCGTGTTAGACACTGGGAAGCAGTGGGGAGCTGGGCGCAGTCCCCGGGTGGCACAGAAGTCGCTTCCTGGCTACCTGTGAAAAGGAGAGCTTCTGCTCAGACAGCTCCAAATACGCGCCACACCACTGAACAGACGTGCCACCAAGGTGGTGTGTGGGAGTCGCCTGCTTACACCACGGCTGTTCCTGATCATCTGTTCCTAAGTGGCTGCCGGCGTGCGGGCCTGAGCAGAGTCTGCTCAACGCCCAGCTCAGTGGTGGAGGCCTTCACTCCACATACAGCTGCTGTGCACGGTGCCCGTGCAGGCACTGTCCAGGCTGGCTCCTGGAGCGACATTCTGGGGAGGCCAGAGACGAGGGCGAGCTGAGGCACAAAGGTTAGTGAGGGGGCCTTGACCCCTCAGTCCTGATTCTCCATGAAGACTCCCCTGCTGGTTATGAGCACGGGGTTTGGGGCCACCAGTGCTGTCACCTCCAGTGCTCGCTGCACGAGGGACAAGTTGTTTCTCCACTCTGGGTTTCAGCCCCTCATCAGTGCTCGGGGGTGGCTGTGGCACTCAGTGTCAGGCCTGCTGGGAGGAGTGAGGTGCTGGTGCCGGAAGAACCTGGATCTGCGGGCCTTGTCCTGTGGCCACCACTGTGTCCCAGGGAGCGCTCGCTTGTGCCGCTCACAGCCCCGCACCCTGGCGCTGCGTGTCTCTCGTTTCCTCCTGCCTCTCAGGGAAGATCTGCCCCCTACACCCCCAGCACAAAGCCACTGTGGGATGTGGCCGCCTGGCTTCAGGCAGCTCCGCAGCACGGGGGAGAGGTCTGCACGCTGCAGGCTGGGGTTCAGCCAGCGCTCGCCGGGCTCCCAGGGCCAGTGACGCCTCTGGGCCGGTCAGGGGGTCCCAGTCCCCCTGCTTCCTCTGGGAGGTTCCTGGGACTGCCCATGGCCCACAGACCAGACACCCACCCGGGCCTTCCCCACTTGCTCTCTGACCCCTGCAACACACTGTGTCAGCACCTCCCAGCTCCGAACCCTTTTCTGCTTTGCTGTGAGGCCC